GTTCATAACGTGACGAAAAAATTCAAGAAACCCAACTGATTTTGCACACGCAAATCTTCTTCTTGCCTAAGCAAAGCATTTGTGAAATGAACAAATATCGAAAAAGCATAAAAAGAAATGACAATTTTGTTAGCCAACTATAGCAAAACTATATGAAAATAAAAATACATAATGTGAAATTATTTATCGAAATCTTCAAAGTAATTAGGTTGAGAGTAATCTGCTTCGAAAATGTCTAAATTGTGCACATATTTCACAATATGCGCAATACGTAAAATTTCTCTCGTTTAATTCCGTCATAGTATTGCGATTGTAATTAAACGAATTCCTTTCTCATGTGTGTAATATTAAGCAGATACCTACTAAGCTATACGACGCCAATCAACCAAAGCGACTTTACAAATAATACTCATCTCAAAAAATACGATTGTGGGATACAAATTGTAACCACAGAGAGAGTGCGTACGTTTTGGTATCATATTCGTTATTGAAACTCGACCATTTATAAATCAAACGAATTATCGATAATAACATACTATTTAACATACGAGAAATTTTGTAGCAATATCTCTTTACGACAGCCATACGACAAAAGCTCCTTCAGTTTCTATCTGAAGAAAAACATTATCGATGCATATCGTCACATATTGTGTCCTGCGTGCAAATTATACATGCATCTACATGTGTAACGTTCGAATGCAACATGTCGAGCGTAAGTGCATATACACATACACACCAGTATACAGAGAAACAAGCAGATACGTACTTTTGCGGTTTCATACAATGTCACACTAGCGACTAACTAACTAGCTGAAGAACTAAACTATATGTAAGAGAAAAAAAAAAACGAAGAGTAAAAATAATATCAAGTATCAAAGATCAATGGCAAAATAGTTGAGATTCTAGCTTCGTGGCAAAAAAAAAACAATTATTTTCTATGCTATTATTTAATCACTGATAATGTAATCTATGTTAAATTGTCCGCGGATATTCGTGTATATCGCACATGTCGCGCATGCTTAACAAAGCTTAACGAAGCTTTACAAAGCTGCATAATAACAGCTATGCACAACGCACGACTGTTACATCTCTTATCTGTGTAGCTCCTAAAATTTCCGTGTCAAAACACACTGAATATTTCTCATTAGAGATTATTTTCCGATTGTCATTATCGAGTACTGCGTTAGTGGGACATGTCGCCGATATACACGGACGCGTGGACAGACATGTACATATATAGAATGACTTGCAGATTAATATTATAAAGCGACACGCGTTTTACCAATGAAGTCAATCGCGATAAATCGTATAAGTAGCGAAGAGAACAATTACGAGAGAAACAAGTATTAAAACTAATCACTTAGTGGGAAAAGTAATGACGTCTCTACGCTAAAGTCGGCAGAAATAAGGCAAATGTTTATATATTTCGTCGAGACATTTCCACATGCATTATGACGCGACAAACGCAACCGCATGCGAGTATATTACTCTGATTTTACCGCAGCGTCATTACCAGTGTCATAATCAGGATTTCAATCGGTATAAAATATGTTCATTCCTCGTTGCGATATTAGTTCGCCACAAATTAACTTTATGATAAATATTTTCCAAAATGTTCACGTTATATTACCGAACGCCTACAGTAGGACATAGAAACAGAAAAGAAGAATGCTTCGAACAAAATGCAAAATATATAAAAAATTCTATGCAATACTTTTCTTATATGTTGCAAAATGAGGTAACGCATATACTTATAAAAAATTTAGACAATAGTTTCTTCAATTGTGGTTATTTCGAAATGACACTTGCATGTTGGTAAAATGTTAACTTTACTTTCGTTATAATCATTAATAAACAAATATTAATATAATTTAGTGCCTTCGCTGCTACTTATTCTAAGAATAAATACTTTAGTGCAATTAGCGTTGCCTATTCAAAAAACTAATTTCTCCTTCTTTTATCACCCTATGATTCATGCAAAATTTACTTGACCGCGTGTATCTACATCAGACCGTGTTGCAAGCTCGTAAACTTTTCTACAAATAAAATCAAACAAGAAAGAGAGGCTCTGAATTGTAATGAGAAGTGCGTGAAAAGACAATTAAGAAATATGCTTAAGTATTTTCTACACTTATTTCATTCGACAAAAAAGATGCAAAAAGAAAAGCACACATATACACACAAAATAAATACATACATTGAAATTTTAGGTCTCAATGTAGTCTGAAAAACCTGAATATAAAATAAAATCAAACATACGTAAGCAATTGAACAAACATTGAAGAATACTGCTCCCTTATAATTGTATTGAATTTCTCTGTTTATCCTCATGCCTTATTATTACTAAAAAAAAAGAAAAAAAAAAAAAAAAAATTAAAACACAAACTGCGATTATATAATTATGTTACAATTAAATTCATGTAAAAGTGTATTTAAAATACAAAGAGAGTTTGTTACGCAAAGCATGCACATGTAGCACATATAACATATATAGCGATTTGTTTTGAAAATCTGGCGAATAATATGTAGCCATACTGGACGCGTAAAGCATTTAACTCAGACGCTTATTTCGCGCACATTCCACATACTTTATGTTTATCAAATAAATTCGTCACATCTGGTGAAACGTGTACATCACAAAGCTTGCAATCAATCATAATACATATTATAATTCCAAAACCCCGAAAATCATTGTGGATAGCACTGAAATAACGATATTAATTGTAATGCAAAATATCGTATACAAGACAGAGACGACATATGCAATAGCCTAGTTTTCACACTTCATTCTATTGTGTATCATCGAGAATGTATATAATTACTGCGCTATCGTTGTTATGTCACGATACATCAATTATAAAGAAGTTTTATAAATAAAAGGAAAAACAAGTATCGGGGTGTCTATAGAAAAAAAAATTATGTTAATTAAATAAAAAGTTTACTGAAACCGCTGTAATAACCCTAATTTAATTATGAATAGTAGTTCCTTGATCCATCGAGAATCATTAACGTCTCATATTTAATTGCACAATTGTTCACACATTAAACAATTTTTCTTGACGATCTGATAATACATAAAATACATAAAAGACAACATTTTTGAAGAGCGTTTCATTAATAAACTCGAGTTTGTCTTCTTTTGGAATCGGATTTCTCTGACTTCGCTTGCTGACAACCATGTGTTTACGTTATGTGTTTACATTATATTCAATCATTATATTCAAATAAGATAAATTAAAATATACAAAAAAATAAACATACAAATAAGTAAAAAAATTATTATCTTTCGAAACTAATTTTTTTTTAATAATATAAAAAATATATTGTCACTTTTTCTCATTGACTTAGCTTTTGGTTTGTCGATTTAGTAAGGATTACGCTGTGCAATAAATGAATCCATGATCTTTAGATTGCGAAGTTTGTTGCCGAGCAGTTTTACATTCCTACAAGAAACAAGAGCCGCCTTAAAGAGGAACGCGACTCCGGTGGGATCGCGTGACAGCAATCGGCAAAGTGATCGCGTATTCTTATGACAGAATGCTATGCGTACGATTTGAAGCTTGGGAATGCGAGTATCCCAAACTGCGTGTATTAGGGAATTAATGCGATACTCATATAACGACGACGATAATGATGACGTGACGACAGCGCCAACGTCGATTAGTTTATTGTATACGATACATTACCCTACGACACGCTCACAAAGTTGAGGGAAAAAAAGAGAAAATAAATATCTATGTACAATGGAATATGACTAGGGGTATGTATCCGCGTGTACAGTCAAACCCAATGTAGTATGTAAATAAACTAAGCGGACAATACACAAAAGAAAGAATTAATTTATGAGAGAAAGAGAGAGAGAGAGAGAGATGCGGCGATAAAAAAGAAAAAAAAAAAAGAACGAGTAACGTCGTGCTCCAAATTTGCAAATAAATTTTAGCTGCGGACCAGTTCGCAAGGAAGAAAGCTTTTAGGCATTCAAATAAGATTGACTCGCTTTTAACAAGTGTCGTGAACGATCGTAGACTGATAGCGCAATAGTACTTACCTCGCGTCTCGGACGGTACTTTCCTTCCACGTGCGAACGAGCTGATTGACAAAGAATTAAAAAAAGTTAATAAAAAACTTTATAATAATCATTTGAGGATTGAACAATTATGTATGTATAAATAAAAATTAAACAACCGGTCATAATGATCGATGAGCAAGCCTCGGAATCTTAATTTCAGTTAATTAAAACATATATTATGTACGCATTAATGTCGCATGAAATTTATCAAAATAATTGACATAAACTGCTCCGTCAACTCGCTCCGATTATTTTGTTATTAACTTCAATCTATGAATTGCGAAAAGCACTAACTGTTATTTCAATAAAACTCTCACACATTTAGCCGCTGACATTTCTCTTTCTATTCTACCTTAATTAACAGCGAAGTGTTATTGATTTTACAATGCAAGAATCATAATACATATATCGTAAGACATATTGTATACTACTGCGACGCATAAATCAGTCGAGATAATATATAGAATGCAGGCATACGCAAAAACATCTGTAACAAAGCGGCGACTGTATACATTATGTATCAAAAAAAGAACTATATGTAATCGTTGATGACGTTAATACACATTGATCATAATGATATTTTTTATCAACAGTGCTCAGCAAGGTCTACTGATCCATATTGATTCACTCATTAACTCGCTCACTCACTCTGTCACTTCGATCCAGTCACTACTCATTCACTACAATATATAGTATATATATACATTGCGAACATGTGCTTTATATAGTTTAACAAAATAAATTATTTCAAAAATTTGCAATGTTTAACATCTTTTATTTTCACTCGTCAGTAATATATATCGTAAGTATCGTAAGATATATATTGTAACAAAAAATCTCTAAGTAAAAATAAAACGATTGATATCAGTTGAATACAATAATTAGATAAAACAGCAAAAGTTTATTTATTTAACATTGTTTTTTTTCCATTTTGTCGATTTTTTACAACAATGTATATTTATATATGATATTAGATATCAACGCACAACAATATTACATATTGCCTATTGAACGAAAAGAATACTAGATATAACAATGTTTAAAATGTGCAATATTTTCGGTTACGAAATCAAGCACTTAGGAAATAAGCAAGTCTGTTATTGCTTTTGCTTCTTGTATCTCGAGAGTACTCTTCTTGTCGCGAATTAATTCCAACTCGCGTATTAGAGCCGTCGCAGCGTCAACGTAGTCATCGATCTCCTCCACAACGATCACGTTGTGGCCATCCTTTGAAAACTCGTCTCGCAAAAGATGCAAAATTACGTTGAGCTGGCTGACAGATCTGTAACCGTATCGCCGATAATGAAAATCGACCTCCTATCAACTTTCGTAAATATCAAAGCGCGATTCGAGGAGTCCGTACTTCCATTACCTGGCAAAAATCTTGACGCTCATTTCGTTGACAGTGATGGATTGTATCTCGATCAGACAATACATGAGAGACAAGTGCTCCTTCACCAGAAAGATGTCACTGCAGACTCTTTCGAACGCCTTTGTACCCAAGAAATGAAAGAATTGTTTCTTCCAGGACTCATATTCGTCTTGATTGTTTTTCAAAAGCCGAACAATGCTCTCTGCGTTACATGTGCTTTTCAAAGCTAGTACTGCACTATGCTCGTTCTCTTCTAAGAACTTTATGCATGAGCTGTCGATCGTTTCGGCGATGGTGAGTTGAATAGGCGGCACTGGAATTTGATATTGTATCTCGTCGATCTCGTACGAGATCGTGCTCCAGTACTCGACGACCGATTCTCGATCGAACGTCGGTAGATCGAGCACCATCGTCGCCACGACGTGAACAGAGCCGGGGTAGATCAAGTTGATCTTTTCCCAATGAAAGTAGCTCTCTGCTTTCAATTTCCAGAACATCGACTCACCGCATATCTCCATCTCGTCCCGTATGTATGGGTAATATCTCGGGTTGAGCAACGTGCTGCAAAGAAAACTTACGTAGTCGCCTTCTGCGCTATTCGCTATCGCTGTACATAGAAGCGATGGATTTCTCTCTTTTAGTAGAGTACAGTTAGTAGATATTTCTCTTTATATTTTATTAAAATTAGTTAGTAAGAAGACAGATATTGTAGTCTTGTAAGAATTTTAGTATAGTTAGTATAGTTAAAAAGTTAGTACACAAGATATATGTCTTTTTCAGATATTTCTACATGTTTTAGTAAAATATCTGTTGCTGCTTCTAACAAATGTAAAATAATATTGATTGTTGTTTCCTTTAATCGCTTCGAAATGAAAATGTGATTGTGAGATTCGTTCTACTGGAAAACTTTACGCAGCTGCCTACATCACTATTTCATTTATTATCTCATTAAATAATATATAAGAATATATGTTTTATAAATTGAACATCACAATCGTGATGAATAAATTTTATTTGAAAATTTGAATTTTATAATCATGACAGCCACTTTTTGAAGTATTCTTTCACTTGCAAATAATTATATAATTATAAAAATAATCTCTTTGCCAAATCACGGCATTATGTTTTTCTCATGATTTAGAGGAAACATTTCTGAAAAGATATCACACGAGAAACGATCAATATTGTCGGAGATAGAAAAAAATTATGTTTCATCCTTCGGTTAGATATTCCAAAAAAATTATTAACGTGTGTACAGGTTTTTAAAAATAAAAAAAAATATTGTGAATTAAAAACACAACAAACTAAAATTCATCAATGACAATGCATCGCGTGATATAGATGCAAGTTTGCATCGTTGTATTTACATCATTTAATGATGATAGTGCATGACTTGCTTACTTAGACGGAGAATACTTGAGAGCTTAGCGATACAGAAACAAATGCTTCCGATGTTATAAAACTATTGCAGCATTTTTGTAAATTTGATTCTTTTATTTAAAAAATTCAATTTTGTAGTATTGTACAATGCTGCTTTTTGTTAAAAAATATTGTTAAAATCTTAATAAGATTACAAAATTCTTAGCCTATATCAAACTTCAACTTTACTGTAAAGACCATTATACAATATAGTTTTTAATTTTTTTGTAATAATTCTAAAATATTCTGTCAAATGGTCATTTAAAATTTTCACTTTCTTCAATTGAAAAAGTTGTACACTATTAAATAATTATATACTAAAAACGGAAACTCTCTCTGCAAAGATTAATAACAATTCTTACACAAGACACTTTAATGGAAAATTTGTATAAAAATCTAAATTTACAATTTTTGTATTTGAATATCAACCTATAGCAATCACATTGAAAAAATTTGCAGAAGAAGTACATAAGTCACAATATACATCGTATACTGAAAGGTTCATTAGCTAAAGAAATTGAGATCTCGATGTGAGAATAATCGAAAATGAACCAAAATTGGTACCATAGAAAGAAATAAGAATACACTACTCCAACTTTCGTTATTCAGACAATTCAACTTTACTTTAATTTTGTGTGTGCGTGCGTGCGTGCGTGTGTGCGTGTGTGTGTATGTGTGTGTGTGTGTGTGTTCCCTTTTCTACAAAATTCGATTTCTAATGTCGTCTCTACGAAGTTGGGAATCAACCTAAATTACGCATTAAAATCTTATCTTATCGTTCTGGAAATTAGATACTTCCTTTTGATAACTCGATTTAAGAAAAACTTAATTGATTAATCACAAATATAAAAAATTTAAAATTCAAATTCTTATCGTAATACAATTAGAATAATTGTAATTGTCAATTTATTTCTTCCATTTGATTATTTCATTTAAATAAAAAAATTTATTTCGCTATTTTCGTTTTGACTATGCGCGCGTGCATGCACGCACGTACATGCTTACACCGGTAATATTCCAGCTACCATTGTAAATAAACTATCGCTGTATAAAAAAAATAATGCTTTCTTTGAAAGAAAAAAAGAAAAAAAATTCAGGTCACATACGGTCAGATAACGCGATTGTCAGGTCAGCAGTTATACACATGCGATCTGACCTTGAATGCAATATTTGCACCGACAATATCATCATGCATCATGCATCGACCCGTGAACAAAGATACTAATCGCAGTGTTCCTGCAAAAGCATAATACCGAAATATCGATGACAGTGAAATAATTTTATTAAGCAAACTATTCTTTGTGGAATGTTGTTATAATTTGCAACATTTATTTGTCTTCTTTTTTAATCCAAATAAAATCTATTATTTTTTAAAAAACATTTAAATCAAGTAAAGCACAAAAACGCAAATCAATGCCTATTCTTACGTACGAGAGACAATCAGAAAGGAAGAATATATATTGATTGGTAGTAAATATGTGAAAGTGTAATGGTAATAATATTTTTTAATCTTCTTTTAAACGTAATATCGCTCCCTAAATTGAGACACCGTGGCAAAAATTTACGTATTTCTTGATTAGAAAAGTTTTTTGCTACCAATATCTTGATTTGGTTACTATTTGGTATAACTATCTTCGTCTCGCTAATGCTATTAAATCGATGTGCTGTTAAAAGTTTCCTCAAATAAAGAAACAAACAAAAGTAAAAGAGTGAAAAAATATTTCACCAACAGATTCAACAGCGATGATAAAGTGAAAACAGTCGTACGAGAATGGAATCAACAACAGACTTCTTTGACCAAGAGATACAAAAAGATAATATTAAAAACAAAGGATTTCTTCTATTTATTAACAAATTACTTTTTAAACGACGGTAAATATTTTATTTTCACGTTTTAACCTGAGTTGACGTACAGATAACGACAAAAAAGACCATGAATGCAAATGTCGAATTATAATATAACAAAATTTCAAACATAATATATAGTAGATAAAATATGGTACACACTACTTTCAATGACAATTGGTCACTTTAAATATCAATCAAACTATTTGTACCAAAAAAAAGATTGAAAAATGTTAATTGCGTTTGCAAAACTGGATACGATATTCAATCGACGCACGAGAGTTTATCAGAACACTCAGACAGCAATTTTAAACTGCAATTCGTAAATATTGGCAATTCGCAAATGTATGGCGCGATCGATTCACCGCAAATCACAAATGAGTAATTAAAATTTTAATTTTAACTGAACGGCCTTTTCAACCGAAAAGACAATCGCATTCATGGTATACGGTAGCTCACTAACCGCAGCACGATGCGGTGCGTTTGCGCGAGAAACATCTAGCGACAAATCGACCTGCGAAAAAACCGACCAATCGACGAAAACAAGCAAGCAGCAGGTGTGGTTTCAGATACTTGATGCACCCCTGCATAAGATTAAAACTTACTATCTCATATTAATCACATTTGCTTTAAAATAATAAATAAATTTAGTTTAATTCAGAAATAAATCATGTTTGGTCTCATAATTTCATTATTTATTATTATTACAAAATATTTTTGAATATTTTTATCCATTCCTAAGAAACCAAAAAATATTTGTATATAACACTTTTTTTTAATGTGCGTGCGTAATGTATGCCATAAATTTCCGCCACTGCATTTATATTAAACATGGTTACTTATTTATTAAACATAACAATGTTGCAGCTTACAAGATCTAACAAGTTTGTCGAAAATCTTGTTAAATTTCCACATCAGTTTTTAAACAATTTTGATATAACATATTTTAGTACTTATTGTTATCTTTCAAAATATTAGAAAAATTAAATTTTACTTTTATCACAAATATTACAAGCAAGGATTAATAAATTTAACTGACTGAGAGATACTGAAGAACAAATTTTTTAATTTTTTTGTTATTTTTATTCATTTACTACTA